AAACAAACAAACAAACAAAACCTCATCTCATTTAAAGAAAACATTTAACTAATTCTCATGAATAAAACTTTCACATTAGAAATAAATCTGAGTATTTTTTTTGTTTTTTTGTTTGTTTTTATGTTTTGTTTTTTTGAACTAACGAAAAACTTTGAGTAAAATCATAGAATAACTAACATAAGCATGCACACATTCACACGCACGCACACACGCACGCACACACGCACTCACACCTACACACATACATATATATATATATATATGCACAGAAACAGAAAACCATTTCAACTCTTCGATATAGAGAAATAATAAATTATGAAATTCGATACATGCAACAATATTAATTCCAGTAATTTACGCATAGAGATAATAGAACAAAGAAAATAGGACCGAACCGAACTGAACCGAACCGAACCGAATAGAACTGAATAGTTTTGAAGTTAGAGACTAAATAAAAGTGTTTTATTGTATAACCTAAATGGATTAACTAAATGTTTTTGATGTTTGTTTGTTTTTGTTGTTGTTGGTAGTGGTGATGATGATGATGAATTTTGTTTTATTTACTTATTTTTTTCTTAAATTAAAACATAAAACAAAAGAGACTGTCATCTGATAGAAATGAATTATGTTTGTCAATAAGCTATTCGATTAAGCAGTTATATGATTTCAATGGTTGAGATCATAAGTCAATGGAAGTTAAACCATCATGGAAAACCTGAAAGTACTGGATGACCGTGTCATCTTATTGTGGGACTCCTCAGTAGTGCACATTCATGATCTCACACTAAAGAGATTCGAACTCAGAACCTATCAGTCTCTAGACCACTGAGCTGGCCAGTATCTAATGGTGTTAATGTCTAACTTCAACTAATCTACGAAATTGAACAACACATCCACCATTATTATCAGTGAGTTACTATCTCACAATAGACCCGGTTGAACTCCAGTGATCACTACTTCTTGTTAAAACTCGAGGAAATACCTCTTAAAGCCAGTCACTATTGATCATATGTTGTTATATAATTGTGCTCTGAATAGATAATGAGAAATGATTATTGTCTTGGTATTTAGTTATACGGAAGTAGACATTTTAAGTATGTTATGTAAATAGGAATACAAGTCAAATTGAGCAAAAGATTGATAAGATAGAATATGAAACATTTTATTAATGGTTATGTTCAAGTGTTTAAATTTAAACAAAAGAGTAGGTAGGTATATTTTAGCTGGTGATTATATTGTGGTGTATACTACTGATGTCTATCGACATCAGTAGTATATATCATCAATCGAAAGTGAAATGTTTAGAGGTAGAAGGTGATGAAGTTCGAAGAAAAGAGAACGATAACAGAGAGTGATTGGTGTGGAAAAGAAGGAGCGGTTAAGTCTGAGACAATTGAATGACATTTTGTAAATGAATTATTTGCTGTATGATTTTTAGATTTTACCAGGATATTCTATAATGTGTATGTTCTCGTTCACCACAAGACTGATGCTATTCAGTAACATTATTGATATAAATACAGAGGATAAGATAACCGGACAGATTTGTTCTTATCTTTCTAGTAATGAACAGTAAACGATTAGGAAAGAAGAGTGTTACACTTCTTTATTAACCAAAGTTGATGTACCTCAAGTAGCTGCTTTTTACTCTTTTCATTTCAGAGTTCTTCTTATATAATCCATTATCTTCAAGGAATGAATTTTTGTCAGTCATGAAAAGTAATCTCATCGTATACGTGCCAATTTCTGACTTTTATCTTTACTTTGTAATGAATGAGTCGCTAAAGAGAATTTTGAATGATCTTTCATTACTTCCAAATATCATTGGTAGTAAGGTATGAACTATCTCGTTATTGATATTCAGGACTGAATGAATATAAGTCATTGTGGACATATATACATCTTTTACAAATTGCTACAATATACCTATATTATCATGACTTATTTGGAATAAATGATTCGTGATTAACAATGGAATCTGGATTGAGCGTGTCAGTCAACTCAACTCAATTGAACCTACCTCTATCTCATTGTTGATGTTTAGATTAGGACTGAAATTAAGTACCTTTGCTTTTAAACTCCCATGGAGTTATTCACAGGACTATCGAGTTCAGCAGCATATTTACAACTGAAGAACATCTGGAACTCAAAACAACTGTCCATCAACCAACACCAAGGTCAGAATTTTTAATACAAATGTCAAGACAGTTCTACTGTATGGGGCAGAAACCTGGAAAACTAAGAAAGCCATCATCCAGAAGATACAGGTGTTTATTAACAGATGTCTACGAAAAATACTTCGGATCCGTTGGCCACACACTATCAGCAACAACCTACTGTGGGAGAGAACAAATCAGATCCCAGTGGAGGAAGAAGTCAGGAAGAAGTGCTGGAAGTTGGTAGGACACACATTGAGGAAAGCACCCATCTACGTCACAAGACAATCTCTCATATGGAATCCCCATGGCCGAAGGAGGAGAGGAAGACCAAAGAACACATTACGCCGGGAAATGGAGATAGATATGAGAAAAATGAACAAGAATTGGATGGAACTAGAAAAGAAGGCCCAGGACAGAGTGGGTTGGAGAATGCTGGTCGGCAGATTATGCTCCATTGGGAGTGGCAGGCGTAAGTAAGTAAGTAAGTAATGAGTTCAGATAATCATAAAATTCGGCTAACAAGCTGTAAATAGGACGGAACACTTATCTTGGATGCAAATGATAACCAATAATCGTTTTATTCTATAAGGATTATTGTTTTAGATTGATCTTACCATGTTTTTTGCAGGATTAAAATAATACACCATGTTTTAATACATCAGTTTGATTATTAAAAAGTAAATGTTACATTTAATTCCTCTATAGGCAATTCACATTGCCAATTTTTTCTGAAAATCACGTTTAACTAATCACTTAACAATCATTTGAAGGTCTAGTAGGGGAGGCACCAAATAGATATGCACCACACAAATCATTCGATGTGTGTAAAGAATGAGATACTACCTTGGTGACCAGACCATAGAAGGTGGTTTCCTTGGAGGGTCACATCCGGAGCCTTTGACCTAAAGGTCTAATTCACAAGACAGTGGAGTAATGTTAAGAAATGCATTCCCATGATCGCCACTGACAAACAATAGGTCCATACTTCATTGATTCCTTCAGGATCTTGAATCCAATGTAAACCATTGATTTGTAATCAGGGTTTCCCATTCACCCCTAGACAGATCCACCATACTGACCTACTTCTAAATCATATTATTGTCATACATTAATTATTACTTAATGATGAACTAACACTTTAACTGTTAATCTAAAACTTGTTTACAGATAAGTCGTTGTTATTCGGATATGTAATTAAGCATTACTTAACTTTCAGTACTAAATATTGTAATGAATTTCCCTTAATGTGCATTTTAATTGTAATAAGTTAGAAGGAAATATGTAAGGAAGTTCTGACTATGCGAATTATTAAATATTAAGCTTGAACTACAACCCTCATCTAGTGCTGTCTTTAAATTGTATAACGTATATGCCATGGACGGCCTATGCTCCTTCATAAAGAGGTAACAAGTGTAAGTAAGTAAGTAAGTAAGAAAGGAAGGAAGGAAGGAAGGAAGTAATATTCCATGTTATATTATTCAGGACTAATTCATTAAACGAATAGAGAAATGACCAGAAGGGGTTTTGTGGAGATTGTAGTAATTTCAATAGTTGAGATCATGAGTCAATTAAAGCTAGACCACCATGAAAAACCTGGAATCACTGGACGGCCGTTTCGTCCCAGTATGGGACTCCTCATCAATGCGCATCCACGACTCTGCCCTCCGCGGGATTCAAACTCAGGACCTATCAGTCTCGCCCACGAGCGCTTAACCAACTAGACCACTGAGCTGACCGGCATCTAATGGTGTTAATGTCTAAGTTCAACTAATCCACAAAATTGAGCGACACATCCACCATTGTTATCAGTCAGTTACTATCTCATAACTAATCACAAATCCTGAAAACATTATGAATAAACTTAATCCAGGTTATAAAAAAAACAGTACAAAACAAAACAGTATGAGTAAATAACGTGCTTAGTAGACGATAATTATTAAATGTAACATATAACATGGAAATTTAACTGTTTTGTCAAGTAAGATACTTAAATATATAAATTTAATAGTTGAATTCATAAGTCAATTGAAACTAGACCATCATGAAAAACTTGGAAGCATTGGACGGCTATTTCGTTCTAGTATGGAACTTCTCAGTAGTACGCATTTACGATCCAGCTTCGAGAATTTCAAACCCAAGATCTATTAGTTTCACGTACAAACGCTTAACCTTTAAACCACTAAGCCAGCTGACATTTAACCGGACGGAATCATACATGTACACTATTGAGAAGTCCCATACCAAGACGAAACAACCATCCAGTACTTCTAGGTTTTTCATAGTAATCTAGCTTTAATTAATCCATGAATTCGTTTTAATGTATTAGGTTGAATTGTCAAAACAAAACAAAACTTAGTTTTGAACGGATTCCTTATAATTAAAGATAATATACACATTAATTCGACATAGATCAATACAATAATAATAATAGTGAGATAGTAACTCACTAAAGACAATGGTGGATGTGTTAGACATTAACACCATTGGATACCGGCCAGTTCAGTGGTCTAGTGGTTAAGTGCTCGCGCGTGAAACCAGTAGGTCCTGAGTTAGAATCTCGCAGGGGGCGAGGTCGTGGATGCGCACTGCTGAGGAGTCCCATATTAAGACGAAACGGCCGTCCAGTGCTTCCAGGTTTTTCATGGTGGTCTAGCTTCAATTGACTCATGATCTTAACCATTGAAATTACTATAATCTCCACAAAACCCCTTCTGATAATAATAATAATAATAATAATAATAATAATGGTCTACATATAAATAGCACAGTTTGAATTGCCCTATTTTGTTTTATTCATTCATTCATTCATTCATTGTAAATAATGAACACAATAAAACTTACCATAATTCATTTGATAATTGACAATTTAAACTGATCTCTTCAAGTAATGGAAGCATTCTTATTCATAAGAATTGATCAATTGATTACGTAATGAATGATTACAATGGAAATAATATGGGAATAATAGATTATACTGTTATATAAATATGTATATATATATATATATATATATATATTCCAATATATTTGTCTTTGTATATGAATAATGAATTATCACAATTAAACTATGTATACAACAACACCAACAATAACAAGAAATGACGTTCGACTATTATTACCAATCACTGTGAATGCAAATTAGACTTAAATATATATAGATATATAACTATTGTATCTAACACTGAAATTGATTTTCTGTGACCATTTTTTATATTTTGTGATTTTAGTTACCCGCTTATCACGTAATAGTAACAATAATAATAATAATAGTAATAATAATAATAATAATAATCCATAATACAATCAGTTATATGTGGGTGCCTAAAGAGAGCGAAAAAAAAATCACCTGATTTAATTCACCAACTCATTCAAGGAGAGAGCGAGCGAGCGAGCGAGAGAGAGTGTGTGTGTGAGAGAGAAAGACACAACACAACAACAAATAAATCACTTGTTTCTGGTTGCCAAGTCAATAATAGAACGATACATTAAACGTTTACTCCTTTCTTCTGTATACCAATATATGACCTGTATGATTAAAATAATAATAATAATAATATCATTGGTTGAAATTTCTATAAACCAATCATTAATTAAGAAAATATTTCTGAAAATGCAAAGGGATACTAATGTCATAATCATTGTAAATGTGTAAAATGTAAATACACACATATATAGGGCGTAGTCATGAGTCATATTAAGATTCAATTGAGTAAATAACATATTTATATATTATAATTCAGTTATAACTTTATACAGTCAATAAAATATGAGTAACATACATATAAGAAAAAACAAAAAAGGAACAAGTAAAATTGGAGTTTTATTTTAATTTTAAATTTATTATGACTAATATTATCATGAAGTGTTACTATGGTCATAAGGAAAGTAATCCATGTGTTGGAGTAGGGGGGGGGGTGGAGTTTGGGGATGGATTGAGGTGAGGTGAAGTGAGGTGAGGTGAGGTGAGGTGAAGTAGGGTGTTGTAGGAGGAAACATTTCACATTTCATTAAATTGGTAAACACCCAGAACCTATAAAAAGAATATGTCTATATATATATGTAGTTAGAATTGAATAAATGAAAATTATATTTGGCAGTAAACATTTGGTAGGAGAAGGTTAAAAGAGAATAAAAGAAAATCAATAACTTCATAATAAATAAACTTGTATTCATAAAAATAATTTCAATAAGACTATAATTTATGGACGATCTTTGAGAGACGCTATGATGATCTTGAGAATATCCATCTAATAACTAGGATTAAATAAGGGTTATAAACCAGTATGATGACTTAGTCGATAGGATTGATCACTGGGTGTTGATCAATGTCATGCATGTCGACTACCTCCAACCACCGTCTAATCTCAACATAGTGCATACAGTGTCAAGTCACCTAGACCGGTGACCACATTGCAACTTGGTAGATAGCATTCGATCCGCACTAATAAGGACTTGACACACATGAGATTGATCATCATCCAGTGATCAATTAATTGCGATTACATTTCAGTCCTACAGGAGGTCCCTCGCTGCCTGGATAGCTCAGTGGTAACGTCTCTGGCTGTGAAGCTCTAAGAACATTAGTTCTTAGATGGTGGTTGAAGGTAGTCGACAGGAAACCTTGGACCTGGGTTTCGTGCTACTTGGCACTCGTCAGCAAGGTGTACCTGTAATCTTGAGGGAACTGGTGCTACCTGACGGATTCAGTCCCGTGTTACCCAGCTTCACAGTCAGAGACGTTACCAATGAGCTATACGGGCCGCGACTGATTACATGTGCAACTTGCTAACGAGGGCCAAGTCACATGAAACTTAGGTCTAGGGTTTTCAGTCGGCTGCCTCTCACCTTCATCTTATTCTTCCATTAGCGACTAGCTTAAAAATTTAAATAAAATAAAATATGTAACTGGGAGTTATATTTTAGGATCTGTTTAAAGAGCTTATAAAATCAATAAGCAACATATTCTTCTACTAATGAAGTTTAATCCGCTGAACTACTGAGTTCTGTTAGTCACTTCACAAGTATAATAAGCAATGATTTGATTTATCTCATTATTGATATTGAAGAGTAAAATTGTAATTGTTAGCATTTCTTTCCATAACCTTGTTGAATTACTTTGTCAAAGAATTATTTAATAGTTGAATTCATGAGTCTAGTATAGGACTCCTTAACAGTAAGGATTCACGATCCCGTCTCGCGAGATTCGAACGCATAAGCTATCATTCTCTCAATCGAATGCTTATTCTCAGGACCACTGCACCAGCATTCAACCGTATTAATGTCTAATTTTAACCAATTCACGAATTATTTAAACGCTCTTATCTATTTCAATAATTTTCCTGAGTCATTAACATCCTAACAGTCAGTATTGTATTAATTTGCTTAGTGCAAAATTACAGAGTGTCTTTGTAAATTATGAAAACCATATATTAAATACTTCATTTGCACACCTTTCCTCAGTTGTCCATTACATCCTTCATGATTCTTCCGATTCTGTTTTTATTTCAATACTCTTTTGTTTTCTTCCGTTTAGTCTTCTTAATCTTCTTTTGATAAGCATCCCAGTCCTGATTGTTAATACATATTACTTACATCTGTCAACATAAGTAGCATACACACGGCTTGGGAGGTTTACTGCGCTCTCTGCAACATTTCCTTCTTTACCGCAGTCTGTGTCATTTTGCTCGTCGAAATTTCGGGTTCGCCGACGCGCCGACCTGCCGAGCCATGTAAACCAGATGTCAACCTAGCATCCGGGACGTCTAGCGCTCGAGCGCCAACGACCAACTGAATCATCTATATCCAATTTCCGCCCACCAGTCACACGTCCCACTGCTTCTCTTCGTCGAAAGCAACTGCTAAATCCAACGCCTCCCAGCCAGAACACTCCACTTGATTTCATTTTCCTGCACCAGGCCGCTTCAACCTCTAGACCCCTGAGTCGATGTCCAACTGTGTTAATGTATAACTTTGATCAATTCACAGGATTGTGCAACCATCTTCCATTGTTTTCGGTTGTTAAATGTCTCACACCCGACATGAATCAGTGCCCACGGCTTCTCACTAGAATTCTGAAAATCCCTTCAGTAAGGGGTCATGATTTAAGCTAGATCACCAGTGAAAACCTGGAAACAGTGTTTCTTCCTACTATGGATTTAGTTCATGACTTCAGTGTAATTCAACAATCTTTACAACTGTTTACTGACATTTAAAATTATAATTAAACGGCTAATTTTTACATATCTACTGACTTACAAAGTATATATATGTGTATATCTCATAAAATGAAGATAATTTACAAATGAGACAAAAGAAAACGAATATTTTGTCTTATTCTAAACTTTAATGTGTAGACTATAAGTGACTCTATGTAATGACAGATGTTTTAGTCTAGTGAATTTCAATAAACCACCTGATCACTCTTAAGAATCAATGTCACTATTCATAATAATATTAATTTATGTTATGGATCGACCAAAACCTAAGTAATTTATTAGACTATGTAAGCAGAAAGGTAGTCAAATCGTTTCGTGAATACTTAACCAATATATATGTATGCAGATGTAAAGGTGAGGATTAGCAAGGAAAATGCTGCATTTCTACAATTAAAGAACATATGGAACTCAAAACAACTGTTATTTAATACCAAAGTGAAACTCTTCAACATGAATGACAAGATAATCATACTGTACGGAGCTAAAACTTCGAGAACTACCACAACCATCATTAAAAATGTACAAGTATTTATGAACAATTTTTTACATAAGATACTGAATCTCCGTTGGTCGGATGCCATCAATAACAATTTACTATGAGAGAGAACAAACTAACTTCCAACTGAAGAGAAGATTAGGGAAAGACGTCAAACTGCATCACAAGGCAAGCGCTAACTTGGAATCCTTAAGGTAAACGAATAAGAGGAAGACCAAGGAACACACTGCATCGAGAATTGGAAGCAGACATGAGAATGATGAATAGCAACTGGAAACAACTGGAAAGGATTATCCTGGACAGAGTTGTGCGGAGAATGCTGGTGGGTGGCTTATGCTTCTCGAGAAGAGGCAACATACGTAAGTGTATATATATGAACTTCGAGGTTAACACTTATAAAAATGAATTTTGTAATAAATTCCGTACGTGTGTTATTCTACTGTTGAAGTCCATTTGGTGAATTAAGCAAATGAGATTCGTTTTAACTTGAGAAATAAACACATACTAAAATAGCAGATTCACTAAATTGAAGTTCGACGAGATAAATTTCTAATTCCTTTAGATTGCTAGAATAAATAGATGGAAATGAGTTAAGTTGAGTCTGGAAATAATTACTGTGTATAGTAACAAATAAATTTGTTAATATCAGGAGGAGTTTTTGTGGATATTATATTAAATTCATTAGTTGAGATCATGAGTCAATTGAAGCTAGATCACTATGGAAAACCTAGAAGCACTGGACGGCTGTTTCGTTCTGTCGTGTGACTCCTCAGAAATGCACATCAACAATTCCGCCTCACCAGACTCAAACTCAGGACCTATCAGGCTTGCGCACGAGCGCTTAAACTCTAGACCACTGAGCTGGCCGGCATCCAACGGTATTAATGTCTAACTTCAACTAATCCACGAAGTTGAGCAACACAACCCACATTGTCTTCAGTGAGTTAATATTTTACAACATACCCAGTTGAAATCTACTGGTCATTGCTTATCACTGAGACTCCAGGAAATACATCTTGAAGTCAGTCACTAGTAAGCATATGTTAATTAGTATCAGAAGGAGTTTTTGTGGATGTTATAGTAATTTTAACAGTTAAAATCACGAGTCAATTAAAGCTCGATCACCATGGATGCGCCCTGATGAGGAATCCCAAAATAGGACGAAACAACCGTCCATTGATTTCAG